AAATAAACAAAAGTATATCTACATTATGTGACTGCTATATCATTGCTTCCCAGCTATTTAGCATGGTATACGTAAGTGGTTGTCTTGGTAATATGTTGATTGTATGTGCACATTTGCAAACAGTGAACTGCAAAACTCACAGTTCAATCAAAGAGCGCAGATCAGAAAAAAGACCCCTGGGCAGTGTTTTTAAATTGTTATATAACCAATTCACTATCTCAACAAATTAGAATACTTCATAAGACCAATAAAAAAAAATTTTTTAGTGAATTGTTGGCCTTCTGGAAAGTATGTTCATTTACTGTACATGTACTCAATACTTGGTAGGGGCTCCTTTTGCTTTAATTACTGCCTCAATTCGGCGTGGCATGGAGGTGATCAGTTTGTGGCACTGCTGAGGTGGTATGGAAGCCCAGGTTTCTTTGAAAGTGGCCTTCAGCTCATCTGCATTTTTTGGTCTCTTGTTTCTCATTTTCCTCTTGACAATACCCCATAGATTCTCTACGGGGTTCAGGTCTGGTGAGTTTGCTGGCCAGTCAAGCACACCAACACCATGGTCATTTAACCAACTTTTGGTGCTTTCGGCAGTGTGGGCAGGTGCCAAATCCTGCTGGAAAATGAAATCAGCATCAGACAGCATCTTCAAAAAGCTGGCCAGCAGAAGGAAGCATGAAGTGCTCCAAAATTTCTTGGTAAACGGGTGAAGTGACGTTGGTTTTCAAAAAACACAATGGACAACCACCAGCAGATGACTTTGCACACCAAATCATCACAGACTGTGGAAACTTAACACTGAACTTCAAGCAACTTGGGCTATGAGCTTCTCCACCCTTCCTCCAGACTCTAGGACCTTGGTTTCCAAATGAAATACAAAACTTGCTCTCATCTGAAAAGAGGACTTTGGACCACTGGGCAACAGTCCAGTTCTACTTCTCTTTATCCCAGGTAAGAGGCCTCTGACATTGTCTGTGGTTCAGGAGTGGCTTAACAAGAGGAATACAACAACTGTAGCCAAATTCCTTGACACGTCTGTGTGTGGTGGCTATTGATGCCTTGACCCCAGCCTCAGTCCATTCCTTGTGAAGTTCACTCAAATTCTTGAATCGATTTTGCTTGACAATCCTCATAAGGCTGCGGTTCTCTCGGTTGGTTGGGCATCTTTTTATTCCACACTTTTTCCTTCCACTCAACTTTCTGTTAACATGCTTGGATACAGCACTCTGTGAACAGCCAGCTTCTTTGGCAATGAATGTTTGTGGCTTACCCTCCTTGTGAAGGGTGTCAATGATTGTCTTCTGGACAACTGTCAGATCAGCAGTCTTCCCCATGATTGTGTAGCCTAGTGAACCAAACTGAAAGACCATTTTGAAGGCTCAGGAAACCTTTGCAGGTGTTTTGAGTAGTGTTGCTTTCGTCAATGAAAATTATGACTAAATATAGTCGTCAACGTACCTTTATCACATGACGAAAACGAGACGAGACGAAAATGCTGGTCACGTGACGATGACGATAATTAAATGCACAATGCAATATCGTTGACGAATAAAAACGAGACGAAATGTGGCTTGCAAAATAAAAACTATGCTAAAATGTCTCTTCATTTTCGTTGACCAAAACGAGACGAAACTAAATGTTATAATGATATTTCGTCTTGAAATTATTATTATTATTTTGCAGTATTTCTGTTTCCTGTGTGTCGCTTCAGCGGCTGCATCAGGTCGCACTGCGCAGACGCAGGCGACATCACTTCCTCAAGCCCCAGTTTCCCAACTGTCGAGAACAGGGGTGCCGTGTAAAAAATCATTTTTTTATATTTTTAAATGGCTAAAATGTTTAAAAAAAACAGTTATTATATAATATACATTTCTAATGCCGCCAATAATTAGAGATGCACTGAAATTCCGGCTGCCGAAAATGAGTTCACCGCTCAGGATTCACTTGTGTGTGTGTGTGTGTTATCATGCTCTATGCTTGTGTGTATTATCCATAGACTGTATGGTATTATCCCGCTCTGCGTGTGCGTTATCCCGCTCTATGCGCATGTGTGCTCCGCTCAGTCGCTCGCGGCCCATGTGACTGCTCCATTCATATACCGTTCATGTTCAACGGAACAGCAAAGTCCACTCAAAAATCAAGCTGACAGGAAACATGGATGTAGTGCAGTATTGTTTCTGTCTGCAATAGCCCTACTGTGTTTTAACATGGTGTGGTAAATGGGCAACTCTGGTAACGCTGCCCTCTCATTCATTGATCTGCTAACCGCATTTAATTTATTTAATACACGAGTTTCACAATTTGAGTTGAATTACTGAAATAAATGAACTTTTCCACAACATTCTAATTTATTGAGATGCACCTGTATATGGTTGCTACATACAGTATATACCATATAAAACAGCATAATATAAATATTATTAACATATGTACATTTACTGTAGGGATATCATATATGTTATGACCTGTAAAAACAGAGAGGAAATGAATTAATAGAAATGGATAGAAGACTTTACGCAAATTAAATATATTTTTATTTATTTATTTATTTATTTAGTCATTTAGCAGACGCTTTTATCCAAAGCGACTTACAAATGAGGACAACAGAAGCAATCAATTGTAGTACTAAAACAACTAAAAACAGATCCAAAACTAAAGGCTAAAACTTTATAAATACTACTTATACACATTTTAAAAATAAAGAAATTAAATGAAAATGACAAATGCATACAACAAAATTTAAAAACTTAACATTTAAATGAAAAAAACAAAAAATAAAGCTAAAACAATTCAAGATATTAAAGAACAAAAGGTATAAGAGTATAATAATGATTCTAACATAACACAAAGCCAAACACCAAAAAAACAACTACATATATGTGTATGTACAACCATACACACATACATACATATATATATATAACTGAAACAGAAGTAAAACAAGTAGTAGGAAAGAGGAGAAATAAAAAGCGATACTTATCCTTTGCCGGTGTCCCTGCCTGGTGGAGTCGCACGGTAGAGTCGATGGTCTTTACACTCTTCGGCCGGTGTCCCTGCCCGGTGGAGTCGCACGGTAGAGTCGATGGTCTTTACACTCTTCGGTCTTTACACGAGGAGGCCGTCACGTGACCGCTACTGCTGTAAACTAAGCTTTTTTATACCCGTCTGACAAAATACTAAATTTATTCAGCTGGACACACTTTCCTTATTTTTTTCCACAACAAATGACCAAGCAAGCGCAGACAATGACAAGATACACGATACAGAACGAGACCAAACGTGACATCAGCACGTCTCCACACAGTAAACAAAACAAGTGTTTCTGAATTTAGTCTCAGAATTTAGAGACTAAATTCATATAATATATATGTAAATATATTAAATTTCCATATGTGAAATATATTCAAAATCAGAACAATTCCATATATATATATATATATATATATATATATATATGCAAAACGTCAACATAAAATTAAAAACTACCAGAAATATATATATATGGTCCATTCAAATATGTAAAACGTTTTGGACATACAGGTGCATCTCAATAAATTAGAATGTTGTGGAAAAGTTAATTTATTTCAGTAATTCAACTCAAATTGTGAAACTTTGTATTAAATAAATTAAATGCACACAGACTGAAGTAGTTTAAGTCTTTGGTTCTTTTAATTGTGATGATTTTGGCTCACATTTAACAAAAACCCACCAACTCACTATCTCAACAAATTCAGAACATATTTAACCAATATGTCGCCATAGACAATATCTCCCTTACTGTATGTACAGTACACAACTATTTTTTTCATGTTCCAAAGGCTGTAGTACATTCCTAGTGGCCAGACTGACTTACTACAGGTGAAAGTTTGCTAATATCACCCTTACTGTACATACAGTACATAATTAATCTGAAAAAAACAGCACTGTAATTGACTAAAAGGGTTTTTTCATGTTCCAAAGGCTGTAGTACATTTGTAGTTATGAGACTGACTTACTACAGGCAAACGTTTGCCAATATCACCCTTACTGTACATACAGTACATAATTAATCTGCAAAAACTATTACTGTAATTCACCAAAAGGGTTTTTTATGTTCCAAAGGCTATAGTACATTTGTAGTTACAAGACTGACTTACTACAGGTGAAATGTTGCCAATATCTCCCTAACTGTACATACAGTACATAATTATTCTTAGAAAACAATTACTGTAATTCACCAAAAGGGTTTTTTCATGTTCCAAAGGCTGCAGTACATTCCTAGTGGCCAGACTGACTTACTACAGGTGAAAGTTTGCTAATATCACCCTTACTGTACATACAGTACAATAATTAATCTGCAAAAAACAGCACTGTAATTGACCAAAAGTGTTTTTTCATGTTCCAAAGGCTGTAGTACATTTGTAGTTATGAGACTGACTTACTACAGGTGAGATTTTGCCCATTTCTTTCCTACTGTACGTACAGTACATAATTAATCTGCAAAAACCATTACTGTAATTGACCAAAAATGTTTTTTTTATGTTCCAAAGGTTGTAGTGCATTCGTAGTTATGAGACCGACTTACTACAGGCGAAAGTTTGCCAATATCACCCTTACTGTACATACAGTACATAATTAATCTGCAAAAAACATTACTGTAATTCCCCAAAAATGTTTTTTTATGTTCCAAAGGTTGTAGTGCATTCGTAGTTATGAGACCGACTTACTACAGGCGAAAGTTTGCCAATATCACCCTTACTGTACATACAGTACATAATTAATCTGCAAAAACCATTACTGTAATTCACCAAAAGGGTTTTTTATGTTCCAAAGGTTGTAGTACATTCCTAGTGGCCAGACTGACTTACTACAGGCAAAAGTTTGCCAATTTCTTTCTTACTGTACATACAGTACATAATTAATCTGCAAAAAACATTACTGTAATTCACCAAAAGGGTTTTTTATGTTCCAAAGGTTGTAGTACATTCCTAGTGGCCAGGCTGACTTACTACAGGTGAAAGTTTGCCAAACTTTGAAAATTATGATGGTGCAGTGGGATTTGTAAATGTACATAGCAATCACTGGAAGTTTGTGGTAAGCAAAAACTGTTGTAAGTTGCAAATTTGAGTCATTCAATAGTTTTAGTACTGTTAATTCAATGCTAACAGTAATACTGAAGAGAACAGGTGAATATTGTAGTCATTTATGTGGTTACATTTAAAAAAAAATACATTAGCATACTTTTCCTTTTAACTTCTCTGTTATGGGACCAACCTGGGAAATTAATCTGTAGTTTCTTCATGCCATGTTAGAGCAATTATTTGTTGTTGACTCAGCTGATGTCTCGAATGACCTCAAGGACTCAAAATAGCCGCCACACGTTTTCGGTAAGATAAATAAGACAAAAATATTGTTTCCTCATATGACACATTTATTTCCATTTTTACTTTAAAAAATTGTTTTCCTTTTAGACAATATTTCAAGACACGATTCAATTTACATGGCAAAAGGGACTGGTTGAATATAAAATGGAAACCAAGCACCATTGACCATACAGTGCAGCAAGATACAACAAGTTGTGGGGTGTTTGTTGCGCAGGTGATTTTTATTGTTTTGTAAATGCATTTATGAAGTCAATACAAATGATTTATTATTTATAATAACAACATTTTCATGACATATAAATGATTTATTTTTCTACAGACAATATGAAACTTTTTCCCCCAAACAGTTACAAGGTATATTTAACCTGGTACCCCAAAGTTGAAAATTTTGCATTTAACATTTGCTTCTTTTAAGATGGCAAGAGAGGTGATTGAAAAATTTCCAGCAATCCCTGATGCTTTCAACATCGATCCCAATCAAGATAACATCAAGAAACTGAGACGACAGATGGCAAACGATATTCTTCATGGATCAGGTAATATAACAAGCATCCAGTAATTCAAAAGAATATATATTGGAAATATTCAAAACGACTTATTGAATTGTATTAGTCTAAGAATAAGAGGGCTAAATAACAATTAAGTACATTCTGCAAATTATGGTTAAACATACATGCATAAATAAATGAATAAATATAATCTGCTGTAGAGTCCAAGGAAGAGTACTGTTCGTACTGTGGATGGAAGGAAGCAAAATCCAACGTCAACACTCTTTGGGTATGTATATTAAACTAAAATAAAGTTTGCCAATTTCTTTCTTACTGTACATACAGTACATAATTAATCTTCGAAAACATTACTGTAATTCACCAAAAGGGTTTTTTATGTTCCAAAGGTTGTAGTACATTCCTAGTGGCCAGGCTGACTTACTACAGGTGAAAGTTTGCCAAACTTTGAAAATTATGATGGTGCAGTGGGATTTGTAAATGTACATAGCAATCACTGGAAGTTTGTGGTAAGCAAAAACTGTTGTAAGTTGCAAATTTGAGTCATTCAATAGTTTTAGTACTGTTAATTCAATGCTAACAGTAATACTGAAGAGAACAGGTGAATATTGTAGTCATTTATGTGGTTACATTTAAAAAAAAATACATTAGCATACTTTTCCTTTTAACTTCTCTGTTATGGGACCAACCTGGGAAATTAATCTGTAGTTTCTTCATGCCATGTTAGAGCAATTATTTGTTGTTGACTCAGCTGATGTCTCGAATGACCTCAAGGACTCAAAATAGCCGCCACACGTTTTCGGTAAGATAAATAAGACAAAAATATTGTTTCCTCATATGACACATTTATTTCCATTTTTACTTTAAAAAATTGTTTTCCTTTTAGACAATATTTCAAGACACGATTCAATTTACATGGCAAAAGGGACTGGTTGAATATAAAATGGAAACCAAGCACCATTGACCATACAGTGCAGCAAGATACAACAAGTTGTGGGGTGTTTGTTGCGCAGGTGATTTTTATTGTTTTGTAAATGCATTTATGAAGTCAATACAAATGATTTATTATTTATAATAACAACATTTTCATGACATATAAATGATTTATTTTTCTACAGACAATATGAAACTTTTTCCCCCAAACAGTTACAAGGTATATTTAACCTGGTACCCCAAAGTTGAAAATTTTGCATTTAACATTTGCTTCTTTTAAGATGGCAAGAGAGGTGATTGAAAAATTTCCAGCAATCCCTGATGCTTTCAACATCGATCCCAATCAAGATAACATCAAGAAACTGAGACGACAGATGGCAAACGATATTCTTCATGGATCAGGTAATATAACAAGCATCCAGTAATTCAAAAGAATATATATTGGAAATATTCAAAACGACTTATTGAATTGTATTAGTCTAAGAATAAGAGGGCTAAATAACAATTAAGTACATTCTGCAAATTATGGTTAAACATACATGCATAAATAAATGAATAAATATAATCTGCTGTAGAGTCCAAGGAAGAGTACTGTTCGTACTGTGGATGGAAGGAAGCAAAATCCAACGTCAACACTCTTTGGGTATGTATATTAAACTAAAATGTGATTAAACTTGTACTAGCAATACAACTGTGCATGTGTTTACTTTTTAATGGTACATTTCTGTTTACTTTTGAAGATACAATGTGAACAGTGCCAAAGATGGTTTCATGCATGCTGCCTTGGACTATCTCAGGACATTATACTTGGACAGGATGCCCAGTGGTATTGCTCAATGTGTGACTAGTGGGGAAAAAAAAGTCCACTTAAATATTTGTAATGTGTTACAATACCACTATTTGAAAGGTTGCCTAAACTTTGTGAATATATATGTGTAATTTTGTACTTTAAAAAAAAGACTTGAAAAGTGTGTTATTTATAACGGTGAGAATGTAATTAAGTTCTTATAATAAAAAGAAAACATCTTTTGTGTATTGTTTTTGAAGCAATTAAAGAAATGTGTTGTAGAAGCAACAGCAGTTCCAATACCTACTTGTGCCTAATATATTTACCAAAATTAATTCAGTAGAGTGGCGAATAGACAGTATACAGTATATACAGTAAGCGTGATATTGGCAAACTTTCACCTGTTTAAGTCCGTCTGGTGACTAGGAATGTACTACAAACTTTGGGACATGAAAAAACCCTTTTACAGTAGGAAAGAAATGGGCAAAATCTCACCTGTTGCAAGTCAGTCTCATAACTGCAAATGTACTACAGCCTTTGGAACATGAAAAAACCCTTTTGGTGAAATACAGTAATTGTTTTTGCAGATTAATTATGTACTGTAAGTACAGTAAGGGTGATATTGGCAAACTTTCGCCTGTAGTAAGTTAGTCTGGCCACTAGGAATGTACTACAGCCTTTGGAACATAAAAAAACCCTTTTGGTGAAATACAGTAATTGTTTTCGAAGATTAATTATGTACTGTACATACAGTAAGGGGGATATTGGCAAACTTTTGCCTGTAGTAAGTCAGTCTGTACATTCCTAGTGGCCAGGCTGACTTACTACAGGTGAAAGTTTGCCAAACTTTGAAAATTATGATGGTGCAGTGGGATTTGTAAATGTACATAGCAATCACTGGAAGTTTGTGGTAAGCAAAAACTGTTGTAAGTTGCAAATTTGAGTCATTCAATAGTTTTAGTACTGTTAATTCAATGCTAACAGTAATACTGAAGAGAACAGGTGAATATTGTAGTCATTTATGTGGTTACATTTAAAAAAAAATACATTAGCATACTTTTCCTTTTAACTTCTCTGTTATGGGACCAACCTGGGAAATTAATCTGTAGTTTCTTCATGCCATGTTAGAGCAATTATTTGTTGTTGACTCAGCTGATGTCTCGAATGACCTCAAGGACTCAAAATAGCCGCCACACGTTTTCGGTAAGATAAATAAGACAAAAATATTGTTTCCTCATATGACACATTTATTTCCATTTTTACTTTAAAAAATTGTTTTCCTTTTAGACAATATTTCAAGACACGATTCAATTTACATGGCAAAAGGGACTGGTTGAATATAAAATGGAAACCAAGCACCATTGACCATACAGTGCAGCAAGATACAACAAGTTGTGGGGTGTTTGTTGCGCAGGTGATTTTTATTGTTTTGTAAATGCATTTATGAAGTCAATACAAATGATTTATTATTTATAATAACAACATTTTCATGACATATAAATGATTTATTTTTCTACAGACAATATGAAACTTTTTCCCCCAAACAGTTACAAGGTATATTTAACCTGGTACCCCAAAGTTGAAAATTTTGCATTTAACATTTGCTTCTTTTAAGATGGCAAGAGAGGTGATTGAAAAATTTCCAGCAATCCCTGATGCTTTCAACATCGATCCCAATCAAGATAACATCAAGAAACTGAGACGACAGATGGCAAACGATATTCTTCATGGATCAGGTAATATAACAAGCATCCAGTAATTCAAAAGAATATATATTGGAAATATTCAAAACGACTTATTGAATTGTATTAGTCTAAGAATAAGAGGGCTAAATAACAATTAAGTACATTCTGCAAATTATGGTTAAACATACATGCATAAATAAATGAATAAATATAATCTGCTGTAGAGTCCAAGGAAGAGTACTGTTCGTACTGTGGATGGAAGGAAGCAAAATCCAACGTCAACACTCTTTGGGTATGTATATTAAACTAAAATGTGATTAAACTTGTACTAGCAATACAACTGTGCATGTGTTTACTTTTTAATGGTACATTTCTGTTTACTTTTGAAGATACAATGTGAACAGTGCCAAAGATGGTTTCATGCATGCTGCCTTGGACTATCTCAGGACATTATACTTGGACAGGATGCCCAGTGGTATTGCTCAATGTGTGACTAGTGGGGAAAAAAAAGTCCACTTAAATATTTGTAATGTGTTACAATACCACTATTTGAAAGGTTGCCTAAACTTTGTGAATATATATGTGTAATTTTGTACTTTAAAAAAAAGACTTGAAAAGTGTGTTATTTATAACGGTGAGAATGTAATTAAGTTCTTATAATAAAAAGAAAACATCTTTTGTGTATTGTTTTTGAAGCAATTAAAGAAATGTGTTGTAGAAGCAACAGCAGTTCCAATACCTACTTGTGCCTAATATATTTACCAAAATTAATTCAGTAGAGTGGCGAATAGACAGTATACAGTATATACAGTAAGCGTGATATTGGCAAACTTTCACCTGTTTAAGTCCGTCTGGTGACTAGGAATGTATGGTTTTTGCAGATACATGAAAAAACCCTTTTACAGTAGGAAAGAAATGGGCAAAATCTCACCTGTTGCAAGTCAGTCTCATAACTGCAAATGTACTACAGCCTTTGGAACATGAAAAAACCCTTTTGGTCAATTACAGTACTGTTTTTTGCAGATTAATTATGTACTGTATGTACAGTAAGGGCAATATTGGTAAACTTTCACCTGTAGTAAGTCAGTCTGGCCACTAGGAATGTACTACAGCCTTTGGAACATAAAAAAACCCTTTTGGTGAAATACAGTAATTGTTTTCGAAGATTAATTATGTACTGTACATACAGTAAGGGGGATATTGGCAAACTTTTGCCTGTAGTAAGTCAGTACCCTTTTAGTGAATTACAGTAATTGTTTTCAAAGATTAATTATGTACTGTACATACAGTAAGAAAGAAATTGG